AGCAGAGCCACCGACTCTCGTCTGGAGGCCATGAGGGTCACCGATGGCACCAGTGATGCTGTGCCCACCAGCAGGTTCCCCCTCATTGGCACTGATAGGGTCTTCTGCCCTGTGACCATCAAGGGACGAGGCAATGAAGCATGATGCCAGAGGGATGTGGTGTCCCATGTGTGGGCAGAAACCCTCCCCGGTGCTACAAAAGAGGACCTCCTTGAATTTACCCACTGCCACCCCCTCACCCTGGTCTGATGTGCTGCTGCTGATACGACACTTGTCCTGACCCCGTAACGCTTGTCCTGACCCCGTAACGAACGCCGACCTGGCCCACACGGCCTTTGCGGAGGCCGTTATCCTGCTAACACTCAACCCAACGCTACCCACAGGTCCTGGCATGACCACCCACCCCCAGACCCCATTCCTGGTTGGCAGCATCACACCACAGGCACTGGCGACCTCCCATCCAACATGGGACGGGATGACCCTATGCGATACCCAAGGGGTCACACACACACAGGGGGCAAACTCCTTTCCTTTGCCCCCCCAGCCATGCTCCCTGAACCAGTTTAGCCAGCAACCTGGGCTTCCCCCTTCCCCCAAATCCAATGAAGCGGGCGCCTGGGAGCGGGAGGCAGCCGATGCTGGAGGACGGGAAATGGCACTGGGGAAGTGGGGAGGAGGGCGGGGGGGAGCGGCAGAGAAGTTCCTGAAGTTTTCTGTCCTGGATAGTTGGAATAAATCTCATTTTCTCTGGTCTCCTTGCCGAGGCGAGGATTGGCTCGGCGGTGCTGCAGCCCGCCCTCCTCCTTCCCACGTCCCCTCCCCGCCAGCTTCGCTCCCTCTCTCCCGTGGCATCGGGGCGTCAGCCTGGGAGAGCCAGCCTTGGGGGGACAGCCGTGGGAAAAGGGAGGGGGGCATGCCTCCCCTTTCTTCCCCCGTCCGCTCGGGGACGCAGCGCCGGTAAGCCTCGGAGCAAGTTACAGGGGCCCACGGGGAGTGTTTCCCAACTTTTCGGCCGGAGGACGGGGGGAAAAAAAATAACCCTGGTTCGGAAGAGGTAAATCCTTGAAAGTTTTGATTCCTCAGTTTGTAGAGCTGGCGGGGTGGGTGGTTCGGGAGCAGAAGGAAAAGGGTGGAGAGGGTGGTTGGAGAGGGGAGAAGCAGGAGGGGTGGCAAGGCAATGGAGACGGGAAGGATGGTGAAAAAGAAAGGGAGAAGAAGGCAGGAATGCAACAGGAAACCGGGAGGAAGGAAAGCGGGAGCGAGGAGAGGGGAGACCAGCCGGGGAGGGGGGAAGTCAGGAGAGAAGAGGGGTGAGGAGGGGATCCCAAGGATGGGGGAAGGCAGTGGGGCACCCCCCTCCCACACCCTGCTCTGGATACCCCTCGAAGCCCCACAGGCTTTCAGCGCCTCAATTTTGGGGGTTTGGAGGAAGAAAGGGAGCGCTTTTGGGCAAGGGGGCAGGGAGAGGATGGCTGGAAACCAGCGTGTCTGCTTGGAAAAATACCCTTGTTACACGGAGAGATATAACTATATATATATATATATAGCAGCTGGCAGCATGAGGGTCGGACTCAGGCTTGTCCACCTACTGCCCGGCACTTCTCCAGGGGAGCTGGAAGAGGCCCAGCCCAGCCAGCCGAGCCCCTTTCCCCCTTTCCCAAAAGCCTGTCCCTGCTGGCTTTCCCCATCCCAGAACAGTGACCCAACGGGGGAGTCTGCCTCCCCTCCTCTGGGTAAAGGGAGGTTTTTCTGCACTCGGGAAAGCTCGGAAAGCCTTCCTGGCCACCCACAATCATTTCCACCCACTCTTTCCCCTGTTGAGACCACCCCAAACATCTCCTCGCCCTCTTTTGGAGTATGTCCCCTCTTTTTTGGGGGGGGGGGGGGGTTGTAAGGAGAGGACGAGGAGGGAAGCGGCTGCTTTCAGCAGCTCCAGCCAACTAGACATCTGGATTATTTTCCCCCCCTTTCTGGTTTCCGCTCTTCCCAACAAGCAGAACAGCTCTGGCCATTCCTGGCAAATGGAAAACCAGTGGAAACCAGCTGAACACGGGGGGGAAACGGGGGAGGCCAGGCTGGAAGGAGGAGGAGGAGGTGCCGGCGGTTGGTCTTTGAGGGCAGGGGGCTTCCCAGAGGAGGCGAGGAGGGAGCCAGGGAGAGGATGCCAGGGAAGGGGAGGTCGGGATGGGCTGTGGGCTCGCCGTGCCAGGGGCTGGTGACCGTGGCGGGCTACCGGATGGAAGCAGAGTCCGGACAGACTGGTGGCCAGACGGGAGGTCCCCTTGCCCAGCGGAGGAAAGGAGAGGGCACGGGTCAACCTTTGCCCATAAAATCACGAGTTTCCCTGGCATGGAGGAGTCGGCTTGGCCAGAGGGGAGGGCTCAGAGAGGCACAGCCAGCAGGGAGACGCACCAGGGGCAGAGGGAAGGAGGAAAAGGGGGAGATTGGAGGGAGAAAAAGCCCAAGAGGGCTGCCAGAAACCTGCCATCCAGGTAGGGTTGGGCACCAGCTGCCTCCCTCCCTTCCTCCCTCCCTCCCTCCTCTCCCAGTGCCTGCCAGCAGGCAGGGAGAGCTGGAGGCCAGGAGCTGTTGGCTTGCGTCCCCGTGGTGACCAAGGGACAAGGAAGGAGAAAAGCTTTCCTCCTCCCAGCTCTCCGCTCCATAGTTCTCCAGGCATAGACCAAGGGGATGCTTTCCTCCTGCATCCCTCCTCCCCACCCCATCCCTAGGATGATGCCAGCCCTGGTGCCCTGCAGGGGTCTGCAGGACAGCACTGCTGTGCGGGGGATTTGGGGGGGGGGGTGTCCACCTCTTAGAGTAGCCCTGCCGTCCTGCAGCACATGCTGAAGGGCTCAGTCCCCACTTCAGGTTTCTCAGGGGCTCCAGTGTGCAGAGGGAAAGGAAAACTCGAGGGCTGTAACTCACCTAATACCCGCTCCCAGGGTCACGCACCTTCCTGGGGGGGACCGCAGGACAACTCAAAGATGGGGTCGCATCTCTCTGCCCGTGGTCCTGAGCCCCCCCCCCCATTGTGCTGCAGGGACCACCCCAGTGGTTTCCTTGCACTCCAGGAGCCCTGACCCAGTAGCTCTGGGTGGGCTTCTGCCAAGAGAGAAGAAATCGCTCCCCGGTTGTCCTCCCACCCCAAATCTGCCACGTGCCTGGCCCATCCCAGCCGAGAGGCAGAACCGCACGGCCTCCGTGAGGAGGAGGCAGACGTGGGCTGCATAAGCCAGGGAGCTGGGGGGCAGCGGGAAGCCAACCTGCCACCATCCCCGCTGCCACCAGCCACTGCCACCCTGGAGGCAGCCAATGGTACTGGGAGCTGCTGGGGGTGGTTTGTTTTCCCTTCCCCAGGCATTAACCCCTGGCAGATAAGAGGGACCCCGGGTGAGCAAACAAGGCCAGGGCAAGGCAAAAAACACGTGTAGCCAGCCAGGAAAGCAGCTTCATGTCCAGGGCTCCCCTTCTCCAGAGGTTTTGCTACGCTGGCACTGCCTGACTGCTCCGAGGTGATCCGGGGACAGGCAGGCAGCGTGGCAGGGGGAGACGGACGGAGCCACGTAGCGATGGGGGTCCCGGCACACGGGGACTGAGGGATGCAAGGCTCCTGCATCGCCTCTTGGCACGCTGCCCTCCACAGCCGGCCCTGCTGAAGGGACCCAGCTCCATCCCGTTCCCCCAGTCCCTGAGTGGGGACTGAGCCCAGGGAGGGACATGTCCCCAGGTTTGCACCTAGACCATTGATGCTCTGAGGTGCCCCGTGTCCCAAATCCTCTCCTTTCCCCAACCAGCCCTCTCCCTCTTGCCAACACACACCGACGATCCGAGTATCCTCCCCGCTGGCCGGGGAGGTCATTGCCCTGCCGTCCTGCATCCAGCCGCTGCCTGTCCCAGTGCCTCCGGGACCCGCCTGAGTGCAGGAACCCATGCTGCCTTCTCCGACCTCGAGCAATCACCTCCCTTGCCGTGCCTCAGTTTCCCCTGCCTGCAAAGCAGCTGCCCTCCCTGCACCCCTGGCTCCCTGCTGCTCCGACGTGTCTGCCCAGCACCCGGGAGGAGGAGGACAAACAAAACAAATATACAAATATTGCATTTTCTCTCCCCGCCACCCCTCCTTCCCAAGAAGGTCCCCAGGCCTCACCCTCTCCCCAAGGGTTCATCTGAATAGCAAAAAAGGAGGGAGAGGTTTCTTGCCCCGGGAGCCTGGGCAGCCGGGCAGGGCACTGATCCGGGAGGAGGTGCTGCTTGGGAGGGAAATCCTCAGCCTGTATTGCAGCATGGGTCCAGCAAAGCCGCTTTGCAGGCAAGGGAAACTGAGGCACGCCAAGGGAGGTCAGAGGGGTGAGGGAGAGCAGGTGTTTTGCAGGGAAAGCCTTTTTCTTCCTTCCCAAGAGGAGTGCCAAGCGAGGGGGACAGCCGGTAGCAACCTCCCCAACGCTGCTTATGCACTGCCTTTAACCTCCCCAGCCAGTCCCGGGGCTACAGCTGTTGTGGTTGGGAAAATCCTCTCCGAGGGCTTCACCGTTCCTCTTATCTTGTTTAGGTGGCCGACGAGGGGACCGAGGCGCTTGCCCTGCCAGCCCACCCCAAGCTCCCATCACCCGCTGCCCGACCTGTGACCGGCTCCCACTCACCCAGCGGCGGCCGAAGACGGTGGATTAACCCCTAAGCCCGTGGCCAGACACAGCTTCCAGCACCGGGATTGATCCCAGACACCCCGTGGGGACACCTCCGTGCCACCACCGTCCTCGCCACCGGGGACGTACCCTCTGTGGGCGATTTCATGAGCGCGACGTAGTGCAGGGAAGCAGGGGGACCGGCGCCATTCCCACCTGCTGAAAGCCAAGGGGACGTGAGCCGTTCCCCCAAAAGCATCGGAGCAGGAGCGATGGGGAGGCCAGGGATGTGACAGACCACCCCAGTGCTGGAAGCCCATCAAGGGCTGGTTTTGGGGGCTTTTTTTTTTTCAAAGGCAGGGGCAAGGCGAGGGGTGCAACATGAGCCTGGGGAAGCTGCCGGTGCTCAGCTGGGTGTCAGGCTCCCACGGCAAGCGGCGGCTGAAGTCGGAGCTGACACCGGACATGATCAGCCCGCCGCTGGGGGACTTTCGGCACACCATGCACGTGGGACGTGGCGGGGACGTCTTCGGGGACACCTCTTTCCTCAGCAACCACGGCGGGGCCGACACGGCCAAAGCCAACAACTTCTTCGCCCGGACGCTGCGGCACGTCCGCCGGACGCCATTGAGGAGCCGGGGCAGTGGGGGCCAAGCGGGGACGTCGCCCGCCCCCCCAGCCGTCTCGCCCATCATCAAGAACGCCGTCTCCCTGCCCCAGCTCAACGAGGGGACGTACGACGGCGGTGGCGGCCGGGGCTTGACCAGCAAGTTCTCCTTCAAAAGTGCCTCCAACAGCTTCTCCAAAACGCACCAGACCTACGGTGAGTGAAGCGCGGGGCAGAGGCTTGTGCCCAGGCACAGTGCATCCTCCGCAGCCCCCCTCCATCGCTCCGTGCCTCAGTTTCCCTGCTGATGGAATTTAGGCTCTCAGCAGAGACAGGACATTTAAGAATCCCCAGCCTTGCTCATCCCTGTGAGGAGATAACCCTAACCTTGCTTTCAACCGCAGTCCTTGCTCCTGCACTTGGAGTTTTCTCCTCCCAGGGTGCCCCCCAAAGTGAGGCACAGATGATTTCTCCTCCTCTCCCTCACCCACAGCCCCACAGAGCTGGCAGCCTGTGTGGTGTCGTTGTAAGGGGGTGCCCCACATTTCCCCCCAGCCCTATGCTTTCCCCTTGAGCAGCCTCCTTGAGGAAGTCAAGAGCGTGCTGGAACAGTGGGGCAATGCCCACACCAAGGCTGCGAGGTCAAGGGGACCCATGGCACGGCTTTCCCCACCTCCGTGCAGATGTTCTAACCCTGTCCCTCGCTGTGCCAACCCCTCCATCTCCATGTGGTCCTCAAGGGACTCCAACCCCATTGCGCCCACATCCGTCCTTGCCGGCTCGGGTCCAGGAGGGACCTTTGGGGAAGGGTTGTGGGAAGGACGTGACGGGATAGCTGGGTGGCTCTTCTCCAGCCTCACAGCACTGGGATGTGGTTCAGCTTTTCCCCAGGGAGAGAGGTCTGGAGCGGAGGGTCTCGGGGTGGCGTGGGGATCTGGGGGGACCTGCAGCAGCCTCGGGAGGTGGCTGGGCTCAGAGGGAAAGGCAAGCTGAGGCAATGCTGCCATCTCCTGGTCCCACCTGCCCGGCTCAGCCCCCACCGGCATCTTACCAAGCCCAGCACCCACCTGGAGACCCTCTTCTGTAACTCTGGGCTTTGGAGATGTCCACACAAACACTGGCCTGTCCTTTAAAGGCCAGAGCGTGACCTCTGCCACTTTGGTGGCATTGTCCCTCGTCCCCCGCAGATGTAAAGCAGGCTTCCCCCCACCTAGCCATCCCCCCCCACCTCACCCTCCATCCCTTCTGCCTCGCAGGGCTGGAGTCCGGGTTTTGCACCATCCCTCGCGTCCCTCGCTTGGAAAAGGCCCAAGAGAGCACCTTCTCCGGGGAAGCAGAGCTGAAGCGCTCGGACTCCCTGCTCTCCTTCCGCCTGGACCTGGGGCCCTCCCTGATGAGCGAGCTCCTCCAGGTGATGAGCTTCTCCGAAACCAACGGGAACGAGGTGGGGGAAGATGGCCCAGACCTCCTGTGTGGTGAGGGGACCAAGGACGGGGTCCCTCCGGCATCGGGTGCATCCCAGGGAGAGGACAAGGCAATGACCAGTTTCTGGGAACGCTCCGGGCAGAGCAGCCTGTCGGGAGCCAACTCGCTGTCGGGACTGTCGGTCCGTGCCAACGGAGAGGCACACGCCATCGAGGGCACTGGACAGGACCCTGCCTGGGCTTCGGAGCCCGGGGCAGCGCCCAGAGGAATCCCGTGGCAGGGGCACTGGAACGACTGCACCATCGAGGCGGGAGAGTTTGACCGGGCAGCCCAGGTCCTGGCCCGCCATTACGGTGGGACCAGCACCCCGCGGAGCTTGGAGAAGGGCGAGGGTCCCCGGCAAGCCCGGACGCAGGCTTTGTGGGAGACCCCCAGCAGCAGCTCGTGGCGGTTGCAAGTGACAGGGGAGAGCCGGTCCCCTGAGACCACCTGGAACCAAGGAGAGGAGGAGGAGGAGGAGGAGGAGGAGGAGGCCATGCTCTCCAGCCTGCAGCAGGGGTACGCTGGTGCCCGGGGGAGGCGCAGCAATTCCTTCGAGTATGCCGATGAGGAGGAGGAGGAGGATGATGAAGTCAAGGTGTGAATGGCCATCCCTCCCATCACGGCCCCTCTCCAGAGGTACTGGTGCCGGGGTCTTCACCCTCCTCCCTGTCCCCCAACCTCAGGTGCCAGCGTTGCCAGCAGACCCAGCGGGCGACCTCCTTGCCAAGCTGGGGGCACTGGGCGGGGGATGGAGGGGGGGCAGGAGAAGAGCCCGTCTCCTGGGGGGACTCCCTGGGGCTGGGCCAAGCTGCTGCGGAGGGCTGGTGAGGGCTGTGCATCACAGCGCTGGGCATCCCAGCCCTGCCCCAGCCTCACTGCCGTTAGACATCAAAGGGACATTCCCATTTGCCAAAGAAACCCAAAACCACTTCCTACCCCATCTTGTTCCCCCCCAGCAATCTCTCTCTCTCCCATCCCTCAGCCTGGCCCCACCAACATGTCCAGGGATGTGCCCTGTCCTCCCACCGAAGCCCCCAACTGCCCTCTGCACTGGCACGAGTGCCCTCCTGGAAATATTCACACCAATAGCTCTGGTGTGTAGGGCATGGGGTTCTCCCCAGCTCCAGCTGGTGCGAGACCCTCCCATATAGCACATCTATCTACTGGGGGAGGTCAGCTGGGGGCTCAAGGGGCAGGCAAACCCCACAGAGCTGAGCTTTCTCTTTTTCCCTCCCCCCAAAAAAGCCACGAGCTCAGCATTCAGGAGGTGAGAGCACACACAGAGATAATTGCAGGGATCTTTCCACTTGCCTCCTGCTGCTGAACGTCACTTAGGATGGCTCCTTTTCTGACCCCCGCCCCCTCACAGCAGGGAGGGGAGAAGCTTCTTGGCTAGATGGAGGCAGAGGCGAGGTTATCAGGTCACCAAATTCTGCAGTTTGGGCCCTAAAAACCCCTTCCTTTCCCCCTGCCTCAGAACAAGAAGACTCCCACTCTGCAGCCACTTGGGTCTGCGCCACCTCTTCTCCATCCTTGCCCCCTCTCCTCATTCCCCATGCGCACACCCCATTTTTTCCAGCGCGCCCCTTCCCAGGGGTACGCGCGGAGGATGGCTAATGACCCTCGCCGAGTGGCCCCGGGGCGACGCGGCCACCCTGGAACAAACTGCCCCCCCCACGCTGCCCCGCGTACAAACTGGCCCTCACAGAAGCGCCTTTGTGCCGCAGCATGGAGCCGAGATGCTCGGGGGCTGAGGTCACCGGAGGGACCCTCACAGGACCCCCCTTGTTCTCCGGGACAGGAGGGGGTGTGCGTCGGGGGGGGCCGCAAGGCTCCGCTCCCACGCAGCTCACCCGCCGCCCGCCTGCTTCTGGCGGGGAGCTCGTCAGAGGAGAATAAAGAGGCTCCAGCATGCAGGCGTGTTGTACACGGGAGTGCCGCTCGCAGTCAGGCCATCGAGGTTACGGGCAAGCCCGTTCTCCCTCAGCCTCCCCAAGGCGGCTGCAGCAGTAAGCCGGGGCAGGTGGCAGCTTCAGGGAGTCCCCCAGTTCTGGCCACTGGTAGCCAGCAGGATCAGCCTTATCACCCCTGCACTCTCCGGGGTGAGGACCCTGGCTCTCAGGACAAGCTCCCTCCGCCATCTGCTTCCCAGACCATAACACAAGCTCCAGACCAAAGACCCACATCCGTGGAATATCCTTTCTGCCTCCACTCTGTATCCCATGCACTTATTATTGTCCTTATTAAAACAGTTTTGATACTAACTTCTCCTCTGGTGCCTCCCCTCAGCTGCAGCGACCTTATCGTCTCCCTTGCTGTGTCTGCCGGTGCCCCAGCCACAAAATCCCATCCTCTCCACTCTCAGCAGGATTTTCCAGCACCTCTGGGATCCCTGGATTAACTAGCCCGGTACTTTGCCACTCACCGTGGCTAACACAAAGCAACATCCTATTCGCTCGGCCTCGTGTAGCATGCAGGAAGGTGCAAAGCTTCCTCTCCGGCCCAGCAACAATTCATCTGCAGCCTGAAGCAGATCGGTACCCTTCCCAAGGCTGGCTTGACTTAAAGCCCTTCCAGCCCATCAGACATCCTCTGCCTCTGCGCTCAGGCAGCAGAAAGTCCCGCAGGTTGGGCAGCGAGGAAGGGGAGAGGGAGGACAGGGGCACCGCCACCTTGCCTTGGACCAGGCTCTCCATAAGATGCTCTTCTCTGCTCTCTTCCCACCCAGCCTAAAGTGCCCCGATGTTTGCTTTCACACATCTGTCTCGCTTAAGGCTGGCAAGACGCTTTTTAATTAGAGCAGCAGCTTCTGATAATCAGCACCAATCACCTGTAGTCCCACACGAGGGACACAGACTGGGAGGTGCTGAGCCATGTAACCCAGCCCCAACCCCGTCCTCCCTCCCCACTGCCTTTCCCTGCCTCACTTTCGCTGAGTAGGGTTCGGTGTGGAAATGTCAGAGTAATAGGTAACCCGGCTGGAATGTGCCAGCAGATAAGTGAGGTGAGATAAGGGGGAAAGTTGAAGAAGATAACTCCTTATTGCTGGCAGGAATGCTGGCACAGGAGCACACCTGTGCTGCCTTCCCCGTGCCACCATTTGCGTGGTACTGCTCCTGGGGGAGGACAAGGCACCCCTTCCTCCTGCCTGCCGGCTGCCAGAGCAGCCAAGAGGAACCCATCAAACCCAAGCCCTGAGGTTCCCAAACCTAACATTTAATTACGCACTTTTGTGGCACTGAATGCCACATCGCTCACATCCCTGCTTTTCTTCCCCTTCCTCCCTCCCTCCCAAAAACTCAAATGGTGCATTGTGAAGAGATTACACAGCCATTCCCTGAGCAATCACATAGTGCCCTCCTCCTCCTGAACCCCATCTACAGCCTGCTTCGCCCTACCTACTATCCACCCCACATCCTGGTCTGACCTGGAAAAGCACCTGGTGTTATCTAGGAGCTATTTCCACCCAACAAGGGCTCCTTTCCTGTTGGTGGAAAAACCCTGAGCTTTGTTTCCCACAGAGCCAGAGATCTCACAGAAGCCAAAGCACCTGGAGCAAGCAGTCTCCCGCTGCTTGGGTTTTTATTAGAGCTAGGAAGCAGCACCCATCACTCCAGCTTGAAGGAGGTGACCCTGAAGTCTCCCTTGACGCTCATGTAGCTGATCTTGTTGTAGTAGTGCCGGTTGGGGAACTCCACTTGATGCCCATCCGGCAGTTTTATTTGGAATTTGTCTGCCAGCATCTCAATGACAAACTGGGAGAAGAGAGGGGAGAAAGGGCAGGAATTGGGGACAAGGAGAAGATTAGGACATGAGCATTCAGGTGAAAGGCCTGACTGTTATATGTGAGGGTCAGACCTGGTCCCTACAGGCTTAAGCAAGGTGCTGGGCATTGAGCTGAGGGTGACGAAGGAAAAGAGCAGTTGATATCAAGGGGCTGAGCTGGTATCTAGACTATGACCTGGGGACAGGATCTCTCCCGGGGCTGTTTCAGTGACTCAGATTGTAAACTCAAAGCAGTTAAACCCAAGTGTGTCTTTATACACCACATGGCTTAGATCTGCTCTGAACAGGGCAGTATAAACCTGTCACCCCAATGCCCTCAGCAGCTCACTGGGACCTGGGAAAAGGAGCTTCGCTAATAAACACGCACAAGCAGACAGGACAAGAACACATTGCTGATCATTGCAAATTAAAGGGATCGTTCCCCAAAGCCGTCACCTCGCCACCCCTTCCCTAAGAGCCAGCCATGACTGAGGAAACAAGCATCCTCTCTACAGCAATATGAACAGGACTGCTCCTAAATGCAGCCCTGTTAATGTCTCGGGACATCAGATGGGGTGAGACAGCAACTAGGACAGCATCCCCCGCAGGAGGAGAGAGAGGACAGATTGCCAGTGTGGATCCAGGAGTAGTGAAGACAGAAGAGCAGAGGGAGAGGTTTTGCTCCAGACTCTGGGTTGCCTTAAAGCCTGTGTTTGCACAGGAGGGGATTAGGGAGAGAAATAAAGTAGAGAGCAGCAAGATCCTGCTTCTTGGAGAGGCCCTTTACCTTCATACGTGTACCTGGTGCACTCACCTGCTGAGCTGGTACAAGGGGCAGGAAGGACTTACAAAGCCTGAGACAGACAGGGCTCACGCAAAATTCCCAGAGGAATTGTTGGGGTTTTGAAGGAGTGGAAATGGCAATCAGGACCAAAAACCCAGAGGATGAGGATTAGGGGGTGTTGGGAAGGAGCAGGAGGCATTGGATGGGACTGGGAAGACTAGGGTACAGGAATCTGGTAACCAGGGTCTTCCCCCACCACACACAGACCCCACAACCCCACGCTGGCACAGACCCCTCACCTTGACAGTGGAGCCCCTGGAGAAACAGAAGTGTTTATCACGATGCTCTGCCTGCCAGGCATTGGAGCACCTGGAGTTGCAGACGATGACAGACTCATCGAAGCGGGGATTGAAGTGAAGTCCTAGATCCGAGAAGCTGCAGCCAAGATTGATGCTGAAGCTGTGGGTGAACAGAAGAAAGGTCAGCTGCACGGGCAGGACAGGGTCTTGGAAGACCTGAGATCCAACACACGGCTCTGCACCCAATTCTTCTATCAGCATTGCAGGTGCTTAATGCCTCCTGTTTCCTCATTCTGCTCAGGAACCAGGGGAGTTTGCACAGTGGTGGCATAGGGGCTCCCCTAACGCTGAGCTATGCTCATGCTTTTTGTACCTGGCGACCTTGGAAAATCACCTCCCTCTGCAGCCCACCTTCAGTCCTGGCAAGTCGAAGTACAAAGTACATTCTTTGTACTCACCCGTTAGCATCACTGGATATCTTGCCCTTGACCTTCAGGGTGTCCCCAGTCTTCATATCCAGGTTGAAGATTTCAATTCTTTCCTAAGGCAGAGAGAAAAATAGTCTGTGCAGCTCCGTCAGCCATTCCTTCACTGCCAATGAGACAGTGCCGCTTGGAGAAGGTGCCTCAGCCAGGAGAACATCTATTGCTCTCAGCTAGTGTTCCTCTCATGGCCAAAAACCCTCCATGCTGGAGGTCTTGCATGGGCTTCTCACTCAGTGAGGGAAGAGTGGGCTGAGTGAAGCCAGAAAGTGAGAAATGACATCAGAGAGAGAGGAGATGAAAACAGGCCTGTCCTCAGCAGAAGGACAAGCATGACAGCAGAGGTACAAAGAGGGTTAAAGCAGAGGGCCACAACCCAGGGTTTGGTGGGCAGCATCGCTTGCAGCTCAAGAAACACAAGTGGTGAGAGCAGAGGTGGCTGTGGCTTGCAGGTCACACCCAGAGGACCCTGGGTGACACAGGACAGGAGCAGCAGCGCTTACAGCCATCTTCCTCAGGGGACAGAGCAACCAGGCAGGGAGCCACCAGCAGTTTAGCTCAGAAACACTTCAGGTGGAGGATTTTACACCCCTAGACTTCCTTGTGGCTTACACATTAGCAGCAGCTCCGCCTTTGCAAGCCTTTGATCCAGCCTTTGCTATAAGACTTTGATCCAAAGAAATAGCTTCCCTATGTACACTTCCTCTTATTAGGGACTTCAGGAGATTTAACCAATTCCCAGTTTCCTCGGTGGGCTCTCAGTGAGGGGACCACCACACACAGCCCTTAGGGGTGCTACTCCAGCCACCATATAGGACAAGCATCGTCCCAGCTGGCCATGGAGGTACAACCACCATGTTCACTTCTTTTCTGCATGTAACAGCTCAGCCAAAAGAAGCATCCCAGCTCTTTCCTTTTGTGGCGGGGGGCAACCCCCAAAGCCCACATCAGCACACCAAAATGGTCCCCACCATCTCTCCCAACAGTGCTCTGAGGAAGGGCTCCAAGGGGCTTGGAGCCAACATATCCCCTCTAGATGACACAAGCTATGAACAGTCCCTTGCAGGAGTGACATGAGTGGCATCTCAGCTCCTTCTCTTCTCGTGGCTCTAGATTCAGCCCCAGCTGCGTGGATTACACTAGCAATAAGCAGGAGCAATCCGCAACCCCCCATCCAAGCTCCATCGAGACCCAAACCTTTTCTCTTGAGAAGCCATGCACATCAGGTTCAATAGCCCCATCCTCCCTTACCCTGAGACACAGGAATGTTGTCCCCACAGAGGAGCATCACCCCTGCTGTCTTCTTCCCAGGTAAGAGCTACGAGTCAGTAGACAGTGTCCCAGATTTGGTTGAACAAATTGATGGTGTTTTGCCAGACTCCAGAAACCAGAGGGAAAGCAAGAGGGAGGAGGAGGGCAAGGCTCAGGAGACCAGCAGCCCCTCAGCCCCCCTCCCAAGCCCTGCACAGAGCAACTGAGTGCAGTCATCCTGCTGCTGCACAGCCAGCTGGGAGACAGCTTCTGTTCTTCCCCAAAGCCTCCTGAAGCAAGCAGAGGTAAGTGCTGATAAGCACTCCTTCCCTGGAGATGTTTCCTATTCACAGGGGGTCATAAAGCCCAGCAGGCTTTGGGAAGTTTGTTTGCTGTTGAGGTCACTGAAGCTGTTGGTGAAACCTCCCTGAGCTGGGTGTGGAGTCAGCAGGAGCAGGTGCTGGGGATGGTGATTTCTTGGCATTGGGTCAGTTTCCCATCACGCTGCTGTGTCCCACCCACACACAACTTCACGTCACCCTGCTCCCCTGCAGACATCCCAGGGGGAACACAGAACCCAGAGCCCCCCTCTCAAAATATCAGAGCATCTCACTGGCTATGGGAGGTTTCTCTTTACAGCAACTCACGTTGTCCCTGTGCAGGGCAGTACAAAGACACTGTTTGCATAGCCACCATTAGGGTTAGTTATCTGAACTCACTTTAAACCAGCAGGGAGAAACACTTCTAGGGCTCAAGAAATTACATCCCAAGACAGACCCTAAACTCAATCAGAAAAATCCCGTCCTACGTGGCTGGCCAAGGTGACACAGGAATGTTGTGGCAGAAGAAAGGTCCAGGTCCCAGGCCAGCAACGTAGAGGAGCCTTCCCCCCACTTCCCACACAGACCAGACAGAAACATCGCTCTCACTGGGATTTATCCACCAATCCCACTGGCAGAGCAGAAGGCTGCCCAGGAGGGAAAGCAGCTTATGTCTGAGGGATGGGGAAAACTACGTGTGCAAAGAGTTATGTGCGGAGCCGCAAGTACCACGGATGTGAGAATATGCAGGGAGGGAGATGGGCAGGAAAGAGGCACGAGCTGCTCAGAGAGGGGCCACGAGATTTTATCGAGATAACATTAACCCCCCTCCTACAATGCTCAGCAGGGGCGTTCACCCCCCTTTTATTTGCCACTGGGAACAATAGTGGGAAACCAGGCAGCAACTCTGCCAGCGCTGGCGACTTCCTTCATCTGCAGAGCTAAGCCTCCGCATGGTCAGACACCAGCCCTGTGCAGATGGCCTCTCTCATGCAGGGGTATGTGTTCCCCACATAGGAAGGAGCTGAGACTTTAGGGACCCCAGAAGAGCCGAAATTCTCCAGTGCAATTGGAGGTGGTGATTGGGATGATGAAAGGAAGGTGAAGGGGGCAGGTTGATACTTCCCTGCAGACACTGCAAAGCAGAAAGCCTGGGGAAACAGTAATATGATGGGAAAGTAAATCCCAGAGAAAGAGGAAATCCGGCTAAAGGGCATCTGCAAAGGAGGCGGAGGGTCTGTGCAGTGAGGAAAATATAAGCAATGGTTGTGGAAGCTGGCAGCCACTGATGCAAGGGATCCAGGAACCTTTCACCCCCAGACAGATGATCCTATAATAGGGTACTTGCCTGGGATTGCCTCTCCAGGGCCCCATAGAGATGTTCATCCTGGCTGGAGGGCAGTTGGTCTGTACTGGTGTACAACACCCATGATCACAACGCTGGCACCAGAGGAGGCTTTGCTGCATTCCCAGAGGGTGCCTTGGGACAGCAGACACCCGACAAGCAGTCACTGGTCCAAGGGTGGGGGCCATGCCCAACCCAAGGGTAAGGCGAGCTTCCAGCAGGGAGCAAGGCAGGCCTGCAATTTTGCATGGAGAAAACAAAAAAAAAAATCATATTTTAAGGAGGGAAGAGACCAATGCAACCACGTCAGCTTTCAGCCAGAAGGGTGGCAGGGCAGGTCCTCTGCAGAGTGCTTTCACCCCATGAAATGTGGCAGCTCCATTTGCAGAGGTCCCATAAGGTAAGTTTGGGGGTTAACAGTTCTTCCCAGCCTTTCTGCTAGTCCTGGGGAGATCTCAGGCCACCAGGAACACCCATAGGATCTCAGGACCCTCAGGGTTGTTCCAGACAGCAGCACCTCAGGTACCATAGCCTAGAGCTGCCACCTCTACCACAGGGCACCCACACAGCTGTTGAGAACAGACTGAATGCCACCCTCCCCAGCAGGCTGCCAAGATCCTCAGCAGCATCATTGCTGGCAGCAGTATTTATTTTGCTTCCTTACTCGGGCAGGAGATAAACCAGCTAGGTGTGAAGCCCTGAGGAAAAGCACAAGCTTCCCCACTTCCCAGCCAAGGTAGCCCAACCACCCCAGCTGTGAGAGGCTTCTCAGGGCCTTTTGTGGCAGGGGCAGCCCCCAAAATCCATCCCAGCACACCAAAGTGGTCCCCACCATCCCTGCCCAGCAGTGCTCTGAGGAAGGGCTCCAAGGGGCTCGGAGAAGAGGGCAGCCAACACGTCCTCTCTAGACGACATGAGCTATGAACCGTCCCTTGCAGGACTGATATGGGTCATCGCCAGACATGACGCTCAGCCCAGAAGGGAAGAGGGAGAGAGGGGAAGGCAAGGCGGCCATGCGGGGTGTGTGGATGAATGGGCCACTGCTCCCAGATCAAACCAAGCTCTGGAAGGAGAGGCAAGAGATCCCCTTGGCACCCTCACAGAAGGCTGCGGTTTCAGCTCGGTGCTAATTAAGACACCAAAGAAGCTGCACTGGAGGAGGATGCTGCAGAGGGGAAAAGGCGCCTGTCCCATTTTGCACTCAAGGCACCAGGGAGCCTGTGCTGTGGACCTGGCATCAGTGTCTGCTCATGGCAAAGGGAGCTGGAGAGACCGACCATGCATTCTTTCTCGGAGTAGCAGCTGCTCACTCTGCTATTATTTCCTACTGCTTCATATAATTTGTACTCCACAGCAAGCTATTGTCCCTTTCCACTGGCTATTTATTTCCTTGAATAGCCTCTGGGGAAGGATTTCAGTGCGGGAGTAAAGAAAAAAGAAAAACTCCACACAATAAATATCAAGTGGTGACCTGATTTAAACCATGTTCTCTGATCTCATCTGGGCCCTGGTTGCGGTTCCTCCCAGGAGTTGCGTTAAGCCACATTTCTGCCTTGGTTTCCCCCTTTTATGAAGCCTAGGGGGGAATGCCCCCTGCCTTAGAGGGCTGTGGGGTGGAATTCAAGAAGCTGAGCCCTGGATTTTCAGAGGCCAGCGCTCAGGACGTAACTGAGAAGAGGCTTCTACCACCTCCTGATGGAGATGCTCAGTCCTCCACCTGTCAGTCACAGAAATTCCCAGATAGGTTTGACAGGACTGGTTTCCCCTTTAGTCAAGAGGTGTTGGTTTGCCTCTCAGCAGATAGTGCTGCAACCTTCACCCAACCCATCCCTAAGCTCTGAAAGCCAGCCAGCTTCCTAAAGGAGGAGGACCAAGAGAACAAAATGTACTTACCTCAGCCAAACACTGAGGTAAGCAGGAGACTGGATAAGCAGGTCTGTGGATCTGGAGGGTGTGTACAGGAGAGGATTGTCCAGGAGATGCGGGAGAAGCCAAGTCAATGATGAGCATGAGGGAACTAGTACCCATGAGCACTAACCTCATGCCTAAGAGGTTAACCAGGGCAGGACAGCTCCTCTAGGGAAGGCGTTGAAGTCTCTGCATGCGGATCAACTAAAATGGGAAGGAACAAAGGACTGGAGGT